GGGAGAAGCAGGCTTCCCGCGGAGCAGGGAGCCCGATGCGGGGCTCGATTCCAGGACCCTGGGATCATGACCTGAGCCGAAGGCAGACGCTTAACGACTGAGCCACCCAGGCGCCCCGGGATGTTCACTTTTATCTGTGTGAGACACAGCCGGATTTGAGTTCTGAAAAGATCACTCTGGCTGTAGTGTAAAGTCTGATTTACAGGGAGTCAAGACTGGAAACGGGGAGAATTTAGCAGATTATTATCCAGAAGGAAGGAATAATTGTAACATAGATCAGGGAGATGGTAGAGACGATGCAAAAAGGATGGATTCCAGAGATGGATTAAGCAGGTAAAGTTACAGGATTTGGAAAGGAATTAGATGTATGGTCAAAAAAAGGCAACTGTTGCCTTGGGCCACCTGATGGAGAGTGGTACCAGTCACTGTTGTATAGAATATTTAGTCATTAATGAACGTTTTCTGAATGTCTGCTCTGCCAGGTGCCACGCTGGCAATACTGGAGAATGACTGGGTTTCCAGGAGGTGAATGTGTGGGATTTAAGATGCCTGTGAGATATCCAAGTAGAGATGCAAGGTGCCCTCAAAACTTTTCTCTTTCTGTGAGCCACACAAAACTTCATACATTCTCTAGCTAGAAATGTAAGCTCCTGAAGGAAGGTTTTTTTTTGTCTTTTGTCAATTGCTAAGTATGTTACAGTTCCTAAGGTTTTGGGCACCTAGTACAACTTACTGGTTGTATAAAGGAATAAATCTCTTTCATCTCTTGCCTCGGACGGGCCCCCTCTTATGTTCTTATGGCCCAAGGGGGGCAGTGGTATTCATTAGATCTAAAGCCTCCCAAACCTGTCACAAGAATGGGTCCCCATGTGTAGGTATGATGGTTCTGATGGTGGTGATCGGGTTCCAAGGATATAGATCCAAGAACTTCGCGGCCTAAACTTTATAAACGAAAGTAAAACGTTAACCTAATTTTCCGTATTTCAAATCGGCTGTTTGACATTCTTGATACATTTCTCCCCCAAATCAAAAGACCTTTTGAGGTACAACCACTGCTTAGATGAAGCCATTCCTATATTTTAAGCAGGGCAGTGTGGGTGCAAGACACCGGGGCAGCGGTCGCTGTGGGGTTCCGAAGCCACAGCCATCAAGGAAGCCTGGCGAGGTCTGCACCACCCTCCGGGGAAAGGCCCCGAGGCGCACTCACTGGACACGTCCCGAGCAGCGGCCGGGCACTGGCTCAGGGCCTGCGACGCGAGGGTGTCGAGTTCCTCCAGGTCGTCGGCAGTGAAATCCCCGTGCGCGCCGAACGGGTCTTCGGGGTCCGGGACGGCGGCCGCGGGGAAGCCCCGGGCTCGCTTGCTCGGAGGGTGCCCGATGCTGGGCGGAGGGCCAGGGCTAGGCGCCGGGAGCCCGCTCCGCCTCCTGCTGCCCGGCGCGGGGGCTCCAGCCATGCCTCCGGCGACCAGTCTCCGAGGGCACCGAGCAAGGCCTGGTCGCCGCGAGGCCGGATCGCTGGACCAACCGCCCGCGCGCCGCCGCTCGCCTCAGCCGCTAGAGCCACGCCCCCGAGCCCACGGGCCAATCGACTGCCAGCCAGCGGGCGCGGAAGGATGACCTAATCCGAACGCGTCGCCGGCTCTGCGGAGTGCGGGCCTCTCTCGGTGGCGCCCCGCCCCCCAACCCAGCTCTACTGGGCGCTCTGGTACCCGTGGCAGGGTCTCCCTGGGTCTCCGGCGGGATGCGTGCTGCGCGATCCGCGTTACCGGGGTGCGGGGCCGAGCCTTACCAGCGTTACAGCGCGGGTGGCTCTGCGTCCCCTCCCTGCAGCCGCGCTGGAGTCCGCCCTGACATTCACACGTACACTTGTGAATCGTGACAGGCAGTGTTCAGGGGTTTGGTCTCTGCGACTTCGCTGTTTTCCTCCCGCCGGACTCACCTCTCACATACCCAGAGGTCCTCTTGAGGAGGAGTCTGGGAGAGTGGGGTTGGGCGAAGAGTATGAATACAGCTTTTGTGAGGAGGTATCTTTGAGAGAGTTAATGTTTTGAGTGTGTGCATTTGAGATAGGTGTGGAGAAGAAAGGTCTGCGGAGGAGGGGTGATTCTGAGAAGGGTGTGCCTATGTTGGAGAGTGTGGGAACTAACTGTTCAGGCTGTTGGCATTCATTCATTTCTCTGAGCGCCGGAGTGGTTTTGTCCCAAGCACAGGTCATAAATGAATGAGGAGGCCAGGAGGTCAAGAAAGGCCCCTTGAAAGTGGCACCTGGCTGTCCTCCAGGTTGAGTGAGAGTTACTGAGTTAGCAAGGAGACTGGCATACTCCCGTCTACTGAGACGAGAATACAACACCGACATGGGGGCCACACAAATGCCAGGTAGGAGTTATCTGTGGCAAGGAGAGAGGTAAGGCTTCAAAGAGGAGCAGGACTTGGGCACCTGACGGGATTTTATTGGGCAGCAGTAGTATGCAGGACAGTTAGCAGGAACAGGGTGTTAGAGAGTAACAGAGGTAAGACTCCACCCTTGTACACTCAGTGCCAAACTTAGCTTGTAAGTGTCCTATGAATGTTTTTGGAAACAGTAAATGAAAGGGAGATGGTTGTCAGAGTGTAAAAGGTCTTGAATACCTGAGTTTAGTTTTTGAGACAACTAGTAGGTTCCCTCAGTAGGCCCAAATGTTGAATGCTTAAGTCTTAATTTTTGCGGGTCTCTGGTCTTGTAAAGATAGGATTATACTTCATTTGTCAGAGAGGATTAGGTTCCACCAAATAAAATAGTAGACAATTCTCAGGACAGTGTGCTGGCACTGGATCTTCGGAGTTGTTCTCAGCCCAACAGGGAATGCCAGAAGTCCAAAGTGTGCTGGCTGTGCAACTTTCCAGGAGAGGACAAAAGAGCACCCCCCCCCCCATTAATGTCAAGTACTTTAGTCATAAAACAGGCTTCAATCTATAAAAACCTTTTCCAGTTTTGACTTAGGAAAATCTGACTAGTTCTAGAGCCCTTTTTTTTAAAGATTTTATTTATTTATTTGACAGAGTGAGACACAGTGAGAGAGGGAACACAAGCAGGGGAAGTGGGAGAGGAAGAAGCAGGCTTCCCGCTGAGCAGGGAGCCTGATGCGGGGCTCGATCCCAGGACCCTGAGACCGTGACCTGAGCCGAGGGCAGACGATTAACGACTGAGCCACTCAGGCGCCCCTTCTAGAGCCCTTCTTGAAAACACATGATCAGAGAAAGCTTAGCATTATTAGCATAATTTCCAGTGATATCAAGGGCCTGGAGGGGAAATCGACTTGTGCCTCTGAATTGTTTCAATATATACACTTAGCCTCTGCCTCCTCCAGTTTACTCCTCCTGGAGTCAAATGTGATCAACAAATACAAAGAGAAAAAAATCAAAAAGGGTAGCAGACAACTGGGACTACCACTATATACAGTGGTAAGGGAAGAGCTCACTGCTGTGATGTTTGAATTCTTCTAAAGGGAGGTAGTCTCCAGTATAGAGAAGTGACAGGCATAAGGAAGAGTTGGTAAAAACAGTGAGTCAGCTTGCTTGCAATGTAGACCATTGTGGCTCAAGAT